CCAAAACAGTTCTAAACAAATATGTGGGTGGGTTTTGATGTGAGAGGTCAACATTGAATGGACTTTTTCACTGGAGGAAGCATTATGGACTAGTATTTTGGCCAGAAGCACCGGTTAAGTTAAAACGTCATAATGATGGATTTGTTTCTTACAAACATGCAGCTTTTCACTTCACAAGACATTAACTGATGGACTGGAGTGGTGTGGGTTACTTGTGGATTATTGTGATGTTTTTATCAGCTGTTTGGACTCTCATTCTGACGGCACCCATTCACTGCAGTCGATTGTCCATTGGTGAGCAAGTGATGAAATGCTACATTTCTCCAAATCTGTTCTGATGCACAAACAAACTAATATGCATCTTGGATCGGCTGAGGTTGAGTAAATTTTCAGCAAATTTTCCTTTTTGGGTGAACTATTCCTTTAAGAGACCACTGCATCAATTTGCAAAAATTATTAAACAAATGATCATTATCAATCATTTTAATGCAGCATCTATGATCTATCTCAAAGTCCAACTGCAAACTCGCAAAAGAAACTGTGGTCAGTGTTGGAAGGAAAAAAATGTGATGTACTGAATGACGTTTTTTATTGATCTGTAAAGAAACACAATTTGTCATTAAAGTAAAGAACAATAAAACAATGCAAGATTAATGAAACGGATGTAGGAGCTGAAAACAGAGACGTCTAGAAGCATCTGCTCTGATCCTCAGGGACTGACGCTGGACTCCAGAGAGACGGATGCATCAGAACATGGAATTTTTTTTGGTTTGTTTGTTTTTTTGCATTATTTCATTACAAAATACACAGGACAGGCTATTAATATTTATAAATTTTTAATAAACCTTTATTTTATATTTTTAATTTTTAATTAACTAGTTTTAGTTTGTTTTAATATTTGAATTCTTTTGTACTTTTGACATTTTATTTGTTTTTTATTATTTCTATGTAGTTTAATTTTTATGTCCGTTTTAGTTTCAGTAGTTTTAGTTCTTAAAGTGACATTTTTTTTAATCTCAGTTAGTTGCAACATTTCTAATGTTAGTTTTTCATCGAATATTTTATTTCATTTAAGCTTTATTTTAATAAAGAAAATGGTGTCTATTAATTTTAGTTAACAACAACAACAGTACTGGTCTACGTATGACTTTCTTTACAGAACAAAACATGCTAATTTGATGATCACATGTACAAACATTTCTAAATAATTTTGGAGCAGATAGTGAACAAGCATCATCAATTGTCCAGTATGCATGTGAAGTTCTTCAATAGTATTTAAAAAGCATCCCAGGATTCACCATGATGTGATTTTGCTCCTCAAATGTTTGTTCAAGTCAATTTTAGGTTCCTTAAATTACGATTTTATTCATGCTATGTTAATATGGACCCTGAGTGTCACACTCAAGATGATTAAATCAGATCAGAGTGTTTATACTGTTCAATAATGGCTCAGTCCAGATGTCCCGGGACAGGAGGCACAGCTGCAGTCCGTATCCATAGATCCAGGGATGTGTAACTGGGAAAAAGGCTCATTAGAGGACAAAGTGCATCTCTGATATGAGAAACTACTACTGGGCAATGATGAATTCTGGGATATGTGGCTTCTCTGACTGATTCATTGTATATGGGCTGCACAGTTCTGTTTGTGACTGAATGTCCTGTGGGTGCTGCGATACAGGTGGATTGTGGGTAACACAGCCATTCTGAACACAGTGGGATCTCTGCAGGGTTAATGAGATGGCATGCTGCTGCGGTTGCCATGGCGGCAGGGTGCCTCGGTGAACAGCATGCTGGATGTTTACGGAAAACGGCCGACTGGGGACACTTTGAGAAAGAGGATTGTTTTGGGATGGATCTGACAACACCATGCCAGTCTTTTCTATAGAGGAAGAGTGATTATTATGGAATGGGATGGAAAAATGGCCTGGAATAGAACTACAGGAGTTTGGAGGATGTGGGAAAGATTTCAGAGTGCCAAAAAGGTCCAGCGAGTCATTTGCACATTCTCTTTCTGGTGCTTTTTGTCTGTAAAAGTCCGATTCTGTGAGCTTCTGTGAATGAGATGATGAATATTCGCATCTCATTATCGGGTTGCCAGGCAACACAGAGTTTTGTTGCCACCCAGTGGTGTCACTTTGAGATGTAGGACCGTTTAACATGTTATGGCTGATGCCTCTGGCTGAAGTCTCTCTCAACAGAGCGTCTTCGACATATGAGAAAACATCATTGGCCAGAATGTCATTGAGTTGGATGGGTTCCTCTTCCTGTAGCTGCAGTAGAGCTTCTTCCTTTTCCTTCAGCTGCTCTTTAAGGACTCTGTCATCCATGTCTGGAGAGTCTGGCGTGGCCTGGGAGGTGAAATCCCATCGGATGCTGTTGGGAACGCTGAGCAGGGCATGGCTGTCCATGAAGACGTCCTTCAGAGAGAAGTGAGACGCTGGCTCCGGGGGCCGGTTGTAGACGGAGCGGTCTTGACTCAGTAAGGAGCCCAGGAGGGAGTCGGGATGTACGGCGGTGCTGGATGGATGGTCCTGCAGCCCCGGGATCATCAGAGAGGGGAAGGTTTCGTACAGGAGAGCCTCTCCAGTCGCAAAGTTGAAGGGAAGCTGCAGTTGCCTTTGACGGAGTTGCTCCTCACCTTCTTCATTTCTACAGGTTCAATAAAATAGTGAAACTGATTGTTTTTATAAAAGCATACTGATGCTCAAAGGGCTTTACAAAAATAAAGCCTTAAATAAATCAGGTTGGCCTATAAAATATATCAAACTGATGTTTGGGTGAATCTCACCTCTAAAAAAATGCTGGGTTAAATATAACCCAGCGCTGGGTTAAAAAGGGACAAACCCAGCTATTGGGTTGTTTTGACCCAGCGGTTGGGTTGTTTTGACCCAGCTATTGGGTTGTTTTGACCCAGCGGTTGGGTTGTTTTGCCCAAATCTCTTAAAAATTTCCATTCAGCGGTTGGGTTGTTTTGACCCAGCTTTTGGGTTGTTTTGACCCAGCTTTTGGTGCCCAACTCAATCCGAGCAGCTGAGTCCTTAGCCATCTTCAGGAATCGGCTAAAAATACATCTCTTCCATCTTTATTTGAGCCTCTAACTCTAGCACTCTCTATTCTAATTCTATTCTTTATAAAAAATAAAAATAAACTTGCCCCTTTTAGACTTGCACTCTATTTATTTACTAACTGCTTGTTTTCTTTAAAAAAAAAAACTAACACTTGCTTCTCTAATCTTTTCGTATTCTATCTTTGTTTTCCTTTTTATTTATTATACAATTTACAAAAGCAAAAAAGGTCTCTAACACCTTGCTACGTGTACTGCGTTAAGCTAACTGAGACTTGTTATAGCACTTGTATATCATTGCTCTTTTGTTGATTTTGATGGCTTTTATTGTCCTCGTTTGTAAGTCGCTTTGGATAAAAGCGTCTGCTAAATGACTAAATGTAAATAAATTACATTTGTTTTGTTTTGTTTTCTTTCACTTTAGCAAAAAGAAAAAAGACAAACAAAAACTAGGTTAATGGAGTCTGTGATATCTTGTGAAATCGTGTCACATGTTCATCTTCACATCAAAGTGCTGTAATTTTTCAGCATTATAGTTTGGATATTTTGTACTGAAATTGGTGGTATTACGCTTAATCACCAGCTGGCACGTCTCCTCCACACCTCTCAGTTAACACACCCAAACACTCCTTCATAGTCCTCCTGTCTGACTCCACAACAAGCTTCTTCCAGCCTCTCTCACCTGTATTCTTTTGTATTTATTCACAGCTACTAGGGTGAAAAGTTTAGGGATGACAATTCAGACTCCAACGACTAAATAATGCCATTCTCATAACGACAAAAGCATATATTTTTAACATAAATAATCCAAAATACAGTTTCATATTCGCCCATAAGAAATATTTCTGGCCTAATTCACGCTGCTATGTTGTAAGGCATTTTGGCATGCCAATGTGGAAGATTTTACTAAACTCATATTCTTTCCCAATGGGTGTGAAGAGAACGCAATGTCCAATTGAGTAATTTGAAACATTTAAGTAAAGCACTTAGGCACTGATTCACTTCTAGCTCTGCTAAAATGAAGAAAATCATGATGAGCACAGGAAAATAACCAAGTGGTCTTTTATTTATCCATTTAGCTATTCATTTTACAACCATTATTATATTATATGGTTAATATTGTTACTTCATTTGTAATTTTTTGTACGGTTGCTGTTCTTGCGCATACTATATCTACTCTTGTTATAATTTAATTTTCTCCCTTCTCTATTTTTGTTTCCTGTGAAATGCTGTCCATGCATAATTTGCATCATATGATGGACCTCTTATTGTATAACTTCCCGCACTCTATTTGCAAGTAACCTTATTCTGTTTCTCTTGCTAGATGGACTTTTTTATTAACAAAAGAGACAGAATACATATACATATTAATGGTTATACCGTATGTGTATATGTAGCTAATGATATCAGTCAATAATAGTATCTGTAATTGTATGATACAGTCTGTTCATGTGGAGAAAATCCAAATAAAAAGTGAGGGGGAAAAAGAAAATAGCCAAGGGCCCAAGGCATGCAACTGACATTCTTGTTTAGCAACTGACATTTTTGTTTGTTTGTTTGTTTTACATGATGATGTTTACATAGGGGACTTATGTGCAACAAAGTGGAAGCTCATTCACATAAAAGAAATGTACACTTTGTTGTCATTTTTGTAAAATAAAATAAAAGAAATTACAAGTTTCGCATACATTTTGAGAGAAACAGAAGGTGCATATCTCTTGCTCTGGGTGTCAGATGTCTTGCTAAAACATAAGGCCAAACCATAACAGAGGGCAAAGACAGCATATTTATGAGTGACATTTTTAGCTAAAACTTTGCTTTTAAGTTAAATGCAAAACTGACTTGAGGAAAGCATTAATCTACTCTCTTACCCTGCACTGTAAAAAATGACTGTGAATTTAACGGTAAAAGACTGTAAAAATGCTACAGTAAAAACCTGTTAAATGGTTAACAGCAAATTTCCCTACTATACGGTGAAAAACGGTATTTTCTTATCAGTTTTGTATATTAGGGTTGTGTGTTACACCTAATGTTGTTAAATTAATGTTTATTGCATTATTTAAGTTTAATGTGTGTTGCCATGATGGTGTTTAGTGTTTGTGTGAATGACGCTGTGCACCTTCTATATATGTTATTATTTAAAAGCTGCTTGTGATGGGCTTTGGTTCATCATGTGACTTTCTCATCACCACCTGCATTTAACCACCTGGTGGTTATCAGTGTATTACAAAGGTACAAAACAGATTTCAGTACTTCAATAGGTTGGTATATTAACATTATATCAGTTAATGAAATTACGGTATTTAACCGTAACTTTAAGTTAAAACCGTAAAACCTAAAACGTCGCTACCGTATTTTTTACGGTAAAATTCCAGCAACCACAGCTGCCGGTTTTTTACTGTATATTTTACTGAATTTTTTTTACAGTGTATTACAATACATTTCAGAAAACGGTTGACATCCGATATGTACTGTTGCATATATGCACAGCAAAATATAATATATATATATATGCAGTTACGAACGTGTATACATGCGAACATGTGATGGCACAGACAGACAGGAACAATTGCTTTACACAGAGAAACAAACGCCTGTTCAACTCTTTGGCAGTGAGATGAGCAAACTTCCTTGAAAACCGGAGCAGAACATTATAACCTGCTCGACGGGTTCCCCGTCAATACAGAACTTTCACAGAACAACAATTTCACAGTAGCTTAAGAATTGAGGGTATAAATGTGCTTAATTGTCATGAAAATAATGTTTCATCCAAAAATAAAACCGTAATGGTCCCAATAACAGTCTTTACTTTCTTTATGAAAAATCAAACTCATTTATGATCCATTCGTTTCTTGAAAATGTTTTATTTTACTCTGACATTGAGAGGGACTCTGATAGCTGTGCAGAAGGTAATGCAAGGATCATTATGCCACCTAAGTCATACTGCACGACTGCAGCTGCAAATGATGCTGTCAGTTTGCTCTCCTGTTACCTCTGAACAAAATCAGCACCTGCCGCCTGCTCTAAAGACTCATTAATACAGTTTCATTTAATAATGCATTGACCTCCATGACTCACATATTCCCCTGAATACACAGACCTTCATGACATGAAGGCAGATGTCTCTGAATCTCTCTGAGACTCACCAGTGAAGTAGTTTTTGATCTTGAGGTATCCCACACTGAGTCTGAGCACACTGAGTTTGTCGAGTCGGGCTCGGACCTCCTCTGGCAGCGGCAGAAGAGCCGTCAGTTTGCCCAGCTCCCCGTTCAGCCGGTCTCTGTGACGCTTTGAAGGGTTTGATTTGGTGCCGTCGTCATGTTTAGTCTCAAGGCCACAACTACAAGAATAAGACCAGTCAGTGGACAGGCCTGAGAATTCATATCCGTGTAACTTGCACAGTTCACACAGAAGGCCATTTGAAACCAAATAAAACACTGTTTACATCTACTAACCCAGACAGCACAGGTACGTCTGCAAGATGTCTGTTAAAGATCGCTTCATCTGGAAAGCATCTGCTGTGTAGAAACATCTGATAGACGTCTTTAAGATGTCAGTTTTACATACTGTACATTCTAAATCATCTTAAAGACCTCTTCTAAACGTCTATTTAACATCTGATAGAAAATGTCCTATAGACATATTGCAGATGAACAAACACTCTAAAAAATACGTCTGGCAGACGTCAAACAGACATCTCCGTGATGTACGTGTGCTTTCAGGGATAGTAGTTAATAGTTTTTTTAGCCAAGCTCTCCATAAAACAAACAAAACAATGCAAATAAAATAAAATAAACGCATATTAGACAGACGCTTCATATTTAATGGTTTTTGATGATTTGTAATTACATTTAGTACATTACATTTTCAATAAAATTTTTGCAATTGGTGAGTAAAGGGTGTTTTTTCTGCAGGTGTGGCCTGAGGTTTTGTTGCATTTAAACAGTTTTGACCAGCAGTTTTGAAAAGGTTCGTTTCTACCATTAGCCTACAGCATTTGCAATAGGAGGATTCTTAGATAATTACATATTAATTCTATATAATCACAGAAACTTTCACGGCGCAGTGGTTAATCGCCTATCGAGCGGCGATAAGCGCATTAAAAGGTGATATTTTTTGCGTTTGAGTGTTTTAAAAAACCGGAGCAGATGTAATTGCCAACATTTCCTCAAATGGCGCAGATTCGTCCAATCGATGTTATTGAGTTTATAGATATGCAAATAAACACATTCCGGGGTTTGGACCTGAAACCTGAATACATTGCGCTCGAGGCATTTTTTTAAATGTAATGGTATGTTCCATGCACATGATAATTGTTTCTTGTAGTTTTCATTGGAATACATTAGATTTACATTTTTGACTGGACAGTTTAGGAACCACGCGTGTGTGTTTGTTGTAAATGTAGCCCCTCCCACTCTAATCTGCCAGGGTTGCCATGTTTTCACAACAAAACCCGCCCAATTGCTACTCAAAACTAGCCCAAAACTCGCCCAGTGGCTTTCCTAGGGGGGCTCCCCCAGTAAAAATCGCTTTCCATTGGCTAAATATCACGTTATTGGGGTCGCTTCAACCTGCAAACATGAAAAACAACCCGCGGGAAAACCGCGGACTTGGCAACACTGCACTCTCCCTCCTTCTCTGAATTTCGCGTGTGAAGTGAGAGTTCAACACTAGGAAGGTTGACGCGCAATAAAAAAAAACATAAAACAATCTTTCTCATATGTTTTATCGTTTAGATTTTAAATCCACTTGTGAAAAATTATTGACAAAATAATAAAATAAATGCATGATCAGATTCTCTTTTTCACAATGACCCCTGATCCTCATGAACTCAAATGTTCCCAGCCTATGAGTGTCCCGATGCCATTATATAACAGACCAGCATCACTCCAAACCAAAAAATACCATAATGCAAATAAAAGAATCCCAGATGTCACACATGAGTTCATCCAGACAGCACAGAGTAGGCTATCTTGAAGAGCGCACAATGAACGTAATCCTGACTCAAAAGAGAGCTGTCAAGAATAATTGTCAGGAATAAAGTACAGCTTCATATTTCCAGACTAGTGAGTGAGAGTTTGTAGGACAGTAGGAGGAGTACTGCATGTTTGAACAAGGGTTTCTGTAACGGCCTTTACCACACTGAATGTCAACCCCTGAGAGATGCAAAGTACACAGAAATACATATGTGCTTATTTTATTTTTATTGTTATCATTTTACCGTATACGAGTAGGATGATAAAAGTGTAGCATAGAAGAAACAGTCATAAAACTGAACACTTTATTAAGAGCATTCATAAACTCTGCACTGAAACCCAGTCCAAAAATTATATTATACTTTGATTTAATCCAAAAATTATATTATACACTGAAAAAAAAAATTTGTTGTAGAAACAATTTTCACTTAAAAAGTACTAGTAAATTTCACAAATAATTACAAAGAAATGGCAAGTAACACACTGAATTAAACTTAACATTTGGAGAAAGAATGAAATATTATTTTCTTGTAAAACACTCCAATAATCTTTTTTTTTTTTTACTACTTCGAAAAATAATTTTTACATCGTACAGTTTGATCTATTCTCTTTTTGACTTCTTGGTTTTCAACCTTTGAAGACCCAGGTACTGATTTAGAAATGTCATGAAAATGAAAAAACTATTATATATAGGCCTATTGTATATTATTATCTGTATTAGTGCCTATATCTATGTATACATAATCTCCACGAACCCCTGATTGAAAACCCTGATACTAGATGATAAGACAATAGTTTGAGTTTTCACTGGTATTGGTACCGAATACTGAAATTTTGGTACCGTGACAACACTAGTTTGAGGATATATAAGCGGGACACAAGCACTTAGTGATGATTCTGGCTCTGTCCTGCCAGAGCTCGACTAGCCGGTTTCACTGAGTCACACAGAACAGCAACTCCCAAGTTTCTGTAATCACTTCATTCAGATGAGCCCTTCACAATGGAATTTATCTACTTTATCACAACATTTTTTGTGTCGCTGTCATTTCGGAAGTGAACAAACTTGACTTGAGGAAAGAAATGTTCCATCAACAACTGTTTTTGGACCCACGGGACGGTAAATTTGACATCGTTCTCTCTTCTGACAGCCGTTATCACCGTTATCATGTCTCTCTCAATTTTTTTCCTTTTATTGAAAGTCATGAAAACACTATCGTGGAGTTTTTCTTTTGCTATTTGAGCAAATGGGAATGCAAAAAATATATATTTGTGGTACTCTCCCATTCACTGCTATTCAAGTTTACCCAACTATGACGACTTCCGCTGCTGAGAAACCCGGAAATGTGAAAAAGGTCCATTGGGATCTTAGGTTGAGCTATATAGTTCTTTGGAGATAAAATGTTCTTTCTGTCACATTGTAGAGTGTTTAGATCTGTTCCAGGTATCATCTATGAAACGTGAAGCCCTCCTGGGTTCTTTAACCTTTGTGCTGGACTGATAATCCTTTACTTAATTCGGTGTTCCTATAGCCAAAAATCACTGAAAGAAATTTTCAATTAGCACAGGTTTTGTATTTCTTTTTGGAACTGACTGTAGGCCTCATTGATCTGAGCTCACACACTTCAGTTTTTGAGTGAAAAAAGCATTATTTATGGATAATTTTGGCAATATTCACTCAAAAACTGAGACACATGAGCTCAGATCAATGAGGCCTACGATCAATCAGTTCCAAAAAGAAATACAAAACCTGTGCCAATTGAAAGAAAACAAGCTGATATAAAGATTGAATCCAAAAAGATTGAAAAACCATCAAATATTTTTTGGGAAGTTGAATACCATGTATGAGCAAAGTCAGTAAGTTTTAGTCTAACGCGATAACATAAACTAGCAATTTTGGGAAAAAGAATCTCCAGGTCAAAATGACTGCACAACATGCACTAATACAATTTTCTCAGATCGTAAGACCAATTTTGGAGCCTCATCTTCCACTTACCTGGCTAGGATAATTATGCAAATAACTTACTTTATAGAAACTGAAGATAAAATATGTAAGAAAATGAGCATTTGAAATACAACCTGACATAATGATTCATCAAAGTGGCATCATTTTTGTATGAAAAACCAGATCTGTCTGGACCGAAATGCTTCAGGGTTTCACATGCTGTTGTGTTGCTCAACACCTTCAAAAAAACATGCTTAAGTGTGCATTCTTGAAATCTTGAGATCCAAAATGAAAAATAAATCTCTCAAAAGCTTATTAAAAGGATCTTGCATTCATTCTGCACTTGTATTTTGTTTTTAAATTAGCTAATACATTCGATCTTGATCACATTGAATTTTTGTTTTTATATGTAATGATTATGAAACCAAATTTAAAGGGCCAGCAGTTTACTAGAAGCATTCCTTCACAATGATGCTTGCATAACGCATATACTAATTATGATGACAAACATTACGAAGCCATATAGAAACACTGGGATCACTGGGCCTGTATTTTCACTTCTTTTCTCTGGTTAACATACACCCTCCTTTTTCCACTCGTAGCTTAGTTTTATTATTCACACCCAACGGTGTACGACTCCTCTATTGTGCAATAATGACTCTGAAAGCAACAGAACCTCTCTGCTCATTCAGGCATTTAATTGTCTTCACTGACGCGGTGACCCAGCCCTGAAACTGAAACCAGGGTGATGGAAGTCAACAGCACTACAAGGGTGAATCACACACAAACATTTCACCTCAAAATAACAATTCAAAATAAATAAATGATGCTTAATGGGGAAAAAAGCGCCTAGTTTTATTGCTACATTCCCCCTTATTACCGCAATGTTTTATTCTGCATTTCTCATTGTACTTGATTAATCTCAATGTTGAATTTTATAAACCTATTTTTAGAAAATGTTATATAATATTATAAATTATAAGTATTAAGTACTACAGTTTTAGTATTATTAGGCTATTATAATTTTTAAAATTTCTGTCTTTTAAGCTAAATTCTAGTATCAGATATATTTGTATTATCAGTTGAGTAAAATAGGCGCATGTTGTCACAAAAGGTCAACGTGTGTCTTTTCCCCTGGGCAATAGCAGTGTTCAATATTTAATATAATCTTGACCTTATATAAAATTATTTAGGTTTTTGTGTCTTGACCTTCAAGGATGACCCCACCCTGCGAAATATTCATACAAATATCACAAGCATGACAACTATCCCCGTTTTCCTGTTGATTCTAAAAGCGCATTTTTTCCGTTAAGTTCACATTGAAAACATCTTCTGTCAGCATATTTTGTACACCGTCCACCACTTCCAAAATTAAGCCACACACCTGCTGTTGACATTCGTACAGCGTTCCGCTCATATTTTCATACAGGTCACCGTGGAAACACCAATGTGCGCGCGCCACAAAGTTTCGACCTAAATTCCGGAAGTTTCATGGGACGGAACCTCCATATATGAATCATTGTGGGAGGAGCCACAGTTACAGGTGTATAAGTTCTGTAGGTTTAAGCGAGTCATGCGATTGATACCTGTAAGCTACCCGAGCGAACGAGGGAGAGCGTGGAAGGAGCACATCTGCGGGTTTTAAGGTTTAAGTTTTTGCTTTTTAGTTAGAGTCACACCAGGTTTCGTATTAATTAGATTTCAGGATTTCCCGGTGAAGTGCACCTGGCTGTTTGAGAATACGTTTTGCGCTGTTCTAAAGTTTAGATGTGTTATTTTGAGCTCAAATGCTAAAAATCAGTGGAATCTACTGGGGTTTCACGTCTTTCCAGTTGTGTTTGGGAGTGGTTTGGATGGTTCGTTTCTTTGGGAGTGGCATCAATAGCATGTGTGCTCCATGTGAGAGTTTGGGAAAGCCTTTATAATCCCCCTTGATGAATTTGAAGGTTTATGGCACAAGCTTGATTTGTAACCTTGTTTGCATGGGAAAGAGGAAAGCTGTGCTACATTATAGCTAGAAAGCATTAACAGGGTTAATTTGGTTTACAAATAAGCTTATTTAAATATCTCCTTAATAATTTGCTCTCCTTTTTTTCCACCAGAAGAGAAACCTAAAGACTCCTTAGATATGGCTTTCAACACACTGACCTCAAGAGCTGTTTTGCTCTATGATGAGTGGGTTAAGGAAGCAGGTGAGTTTGCACCGACAGCACGTTTGTGTAAGGTTTCTGTAATTGGCTGGGAAATAAGACGTCTTTTGCCTCACTTGTAGATCCACGGACTGAGAACTGGCTGCTTATGGCCTCCCCTTTCCCTCAAACATTCATAATCGCTGCCTACATCTACTTTGTGACGTCGCTGGGGCCTCGGCTGATGGAAAACCGCAAGCCCTTTGACCTCAAGCGTACAATGATCATCTATAACTTCAGCATTGTGACGTTTTCCCTCTACCTGATTTACGAGGTTGGTTAACATGTTGCATCATGAGTTTCTAGTGTTTTTTTTTTTTTTTTTTTTCCCTCTCTCTCTATTGTTGCATGTTTATCAGAATGTGTCTTCTTCCTTTTCCAGTTTCTCATGTCTGGTTGGGCGAACGGCTACACCTATGGGTGTGACCTTGTGGATTATTCCAGTTCTCCTCAGGCTCTCCGGGTATGTGAATGGAGCAAATTCTTGTAACGGTGCATTTGTTGCCGATGTCAACAATTTGACACTTCCTTAACCATCTTGTTTCCTTGTAGATGGCATGGTCCTGCTGGCTGTACTATTTCTCCAAGTTCATTGAGATGCTTGACACTGTAAGTGGGCTTCTTTTGTATTCAGAACAAGAAAATTAAGCCTTTATGATGGACTATCAATGCTAAACATGTTCCTCGCCGTCATAGATTTTCTTTGTCCTGAGGAAAAAGAACAGCCAGGTTACTTTCCTTCACGTCTTCCATCACTCCATCATGCCCTTCACCTGGTGGTTTGGGGTCAGATTCGCCCCAGGTAAAGTATTATGAGACTGACACGTAAAGGGATCATTCACCCAAAAATGCAAATTGTCTTCGCCTTCATTCAAACCCACATAACTCTGGTTAATCTTCAAAACTGAGAGGTTTCTCCCTCCACTGAAAGTCCAGACAACCAAAACTTGGATCCAAAAAGGGTTTTTTTTTCTTTTTTTTTTGTTTTACAACACCTTTATGATCTTTTCGGATCTCGCAAGTTTTTGTTACCTTGGCTTTCAATGGAGGGACCAAAAACTCAATCTCAATTTTGTTTTGACCATTAACCAAAGTCATATTTTATAAACCCACGAGGGTGAGTTAAAGACAAATTTGTAACTATTGGGTAAACGATCCCTTTAACCCAAAATGAAAGTGCATTTACTCATATGTATGCTAAAAATGGTCCTGATGACTTGGTAAATATAGTACACTAGTCTTCTGAAGCCGGACAGCATGACTTGAAGGTGCTTGACAGCTGTGGTATTTCACTTTGCTTGTATGCAAAGGATAAAATGTCTATGCAACTTAATTTTGTTCTCATTTTTGGGTCATCTATACCTGATGTTAAGTGTTAATGGTGTATTTTGCTTTCTTAGGTGGTCTGGGAACCTTCCATGCCCTGCTGAACTGCGTCGTCCATGTTATAATGTACACCTACTATGCTCTCTCAGCCCTGGGACCTGCCTACCAGAAGTACCTGTGGTGGAAAAAGTATATGACCACTATCCAGCTGGTAAGTTATAAGCTTATCTACCCATCTCCAATGTCCTTTGTTGAAATCCAGGCTTTTGACGTCTGAACCCTAAACTGGTTCTAACTCTGTTCTTCTGTTCATGTCAGATTCAGTTTGTGCTGGTCACCACTCACATTGGCCAGTTGTTCTTCATGAAGGACTGTTCTTACCAGTTTCCTGTGTTCCTCTACGTCATCGGTTCATATGGGCTGATCTTCCTGGTCCTGTTCCTCAAATTCTACTATCACGCCTACACCAAGGGCAAGAGGCTACCCAAGGTTCTCCAGAATGGAAACTACCTTCTCAAGAAATATGAGTGATCTTTCCAATGATCTTTCCAACCTATTAAGTGGGAATATTCCTTTTTATTTCATCCGTTCAAGTTCCACTTCCCTGTTTTATGTTAAAACTAATGTGGAATACATCCACCTTATCACTGGATGTAAGACGTCCGAACTTGCACACTGGTGTTTCACTAGAGATGCTGTCTTGTTGTTTATTTTTTTTTATTTTGTGGTCTTCACTTAAGGCTTTGAAATGAGTATGGTGTGGGGAGTACAGTATTTTCATCCTATATCCTCTTAATTTACCTGTAAATATCGAGTTTCTCAGCTTTGGAGTATGATTGAACTGCTGGCCAGATCTGAAAAGTTATGAGAGCAAAGGTGATTTGAAGTTTGTCACTAAAAGGGTTTTTGAAGGTTGTTTTAGTTGTGACTAAATGAGCCTGAAGCCCTTTGACCCTTGAGGAACGCTTGACTGATCTACCTGGTTGTGCTCGAACCTGAACGTTTACCGCAGAAGTGACATCATCTGAAGTTATTTTGTCAGTGATTTATGCTTTGTGATTATTTATTCTTTATTTAATATTGCTGTTTTCTTAATGTGATCTTTTTAAATGATATTGATCTGTAGGAATGGCCCGTTATGCTTTTATGTTCTACTGATCGGAGCTAAGGAAGACTAGAACAATGTTACAGGATTTTTCCTTGGTTTTTGTCTTTTTAAATGAACTTCCAATTCTGTGAAAAAGAAATTGAGTTTTATAGTGAAACAAAATAAATCATTTGTCACTATCTCTTGGTTTTCTTGTGCTTTCATTACGAGTACACAAGTTCTCAACAGCGCACCTAAACTACACTTCCCATACTGCACTTGGGCAACTCCGTTAAAGGTGATGCCCATATTTGGTAAATCAGTAGAATTAACGTGACTGATTTCGTGTGCCAATCACATTATTGGCAGGAATGTGTCGGTTTTCAAAAGTGAAGTAACTGGCGTGGAAATGTTTACGGAGATGAACGCAGTAAATGGATAAATAAGAATATAAGCTAATAAAAAATGAATAGAGCTAAAATGGATGGTAAAATGATTGGACCCGGACCTTATAGGGCGACGAGATTGGTAAGAACTTTTTTTTTTTTTTTTTTAAAGCTCAATGTTTACGTTACACGCGCTGATTGTACACTACGTGAGCTGATTTAGTGTTTAACGTTACTTCCGTATTTCTTTAAACTGTTTGTTCAAAATTTGTGTTTTAATAATATATTGTCACATAAATCAGTATGCCTATGTAATACATTTACCCCCGGTTTCACAGACAAGGATTAAGCCTAGTCCCAGATTAAAATGTACGTTATGTCTGGACTGTTTTAATTTAATAATTATATAATATATAATTGAATCCTGGCTTTATCTAAACCCTGTCTGTGAAACTAGCCCCTAAATCCGTGAGAAAATTTGGTTGCTGGCTAAGTTTTCCGTCAGAATGGAAATATGTCGCATGAAATGCATCACAGTGCTATAGGCTTATTATAGTAATTTACTGCCACTAATATTTGCAATGTTGTTTCTTTGGTCTGTGATTGATTGTTGAACTAGTCAAGGTAACCACTAAATATCATCAAATAACATTACTTTGCCCATTTGTCTTTAGAGACAAATTGAACAGAAAATAGCTTACCTTAATTCACCCCACAGCTGTAGATCTATAACATTCAGTAAACATCTAGAAAAACTCATATCTTTTTTAGATGCACTTTATTGAGGGAAAATTCCTGGGTAACAAAAATTCTCCATAGTAACTGCAGTTCCCATCAAAATACCAGTTACTACATCATTGTTATTAATAAAATAATTAATATTAGGTTTTGACATGAAGATGAAATGAGGTTTTCAAGCACCAAAATATATAAAAGTTTAATACAGTTTTAAATGTATTTATTTATTTTTCCATACATTAGAATGTGTCATTTAATTTTATATTTTCTAAGAAAAAAAATTATCATACATACATTTTTCATACAGCACCCCAAAATCATCAATCAATTAAATCCTTTGAACCACTAGGTTTTACCTATTTGTTAGCAATAATTTTTTAATCATAAAATAAAATTCAGTATGATCACTTAATCTTTTATGTATTTTAACAAATACAGGTCTGAATAAGTATGTTGTTTCATCATGTTTACATAAATATATCCGTTATGCTGAATGATGATGGAACAGTATTTCACCCATATTTTGACATTTTATTTTCACAAAAGTTATTTGAAACATTAAAGTAGTCTTGCATTTAATATGCTTTCTATGTATATAAAATCGCTTTTGTAAATTTAATTTGTTGCAGACACCAAAATGGGCCGTCTCGGACGTCTTTGACCCATAGACACACCAAAATATTAATTAAAAGAACTAACACAACGGTGTTACAATGTAAATTCACCACCTCTCAACAGTTTGCAGTTAAAACAGCATTAATGGTAAATTCAGATTTTTTTCCCCCCAGTGGAATGAGACCATTAGGCTCTTCCGTGGTGGAATGCCAATCAGACGTCACTGGGCTCATTTCAGGAGTTACGATCACAGTTTCACAGGAGCCGAGGCTGTCGATTTCCTCCACGAACTGCTCAGACAAAACCAGAACTTCGGACCGGAGGTGACGCGCTACCAAACGCTCCAGTTACTCCGGAAATTCCTCAAAAATCACGTCATCGAGGACGTCAAAGGCCGATTTGGTAAAGAGGACTTCGAGGACAGTGGACATTTATACAGGTGCTTTCTTTCAAAAATTACATTAACAACATTATCACTGTTATTTTCCTCTTCATTAATGTGAGGCTGCTTTGAAACAATCTGTATTGTATAAAGCGCAATAGAAAAAAGTATATATTATATATATATATATTGCATTATAATAAAAATTGTTTTTCTAAATAATAATAAATGCTTTAAATGTGTCAGATTTCCCCCACAATCACCTCTAAAGCCCGTTCCTGTGCGTCTACCTGTAAGAGATCACCGCTCATTACCCAGAATCCCACGCTGGGACGTTTATGAGGAGATAGCAGTGCCGGAGAAGATCCCAATAAAGCCTCTTATGGTACATTTGGCTGTGGAACAAGTTTGGAAACATTACCATTTTTAATGGTTTTAATGAAGTCTCTTATGCTCACCAAGGCCACATTTATGTGCCTATATAACAGTAAAAACAAGTAGCACAACTGTTTTCAACATTGTTACATGTGTGTGGTTTAAAGGCACAATATGTAAGATTTTTTTATTAAAATATTCAAAAACCACTAGAACAGTGTTATATATTTTGCTGACTTGTGTACTTACATTACCCCAAATGTTTGTTTTTACTGTATTTTTTTATCAAATATATGCAGCCTTGGTGAGCAGAAGAGACTTCATTATAAACATTTTTTAAAAATCATACCAAACTTTTGACAAGGACTGTGGAACTTTACGTTCATTTTTTTTCTTATATACTTTGATTTTGATCTAGAATTCCGAGTCGTGGAATAAGAGGCACAGCATTGCCATCGGTGAAGTTCCTGAATGCCGTTTAATCCGGAAGAGAGAATTAACCCCGAAACACATGGACCAGATATGGAAGTCAATGACACTAACACAGTAAGCATCAAAAGAGAAGCTCTGTTCCTGCTCAAAAAAGGGGTTTTGGTTTTAAGATGAACTCTTTTATTAGTTTACAGACTGTTTTGGGTCTCCAGTCTCTGGACGGAGTTTTAGATGCCAAACTTCTGAGCCCGAAGCACATCGTTCACAATGTGTTTGGTGTTAATAAGCAGGGGATTGTTGTGCTGAAGAACAAAACAGGCAAGCAGGGGTTATATTTTAACACATGAAATGTTCTTACAGCTAATTTCTGACGGATCTCTTTCTGGGTGTTGTTTCTGATCTATTTTCTGTAGAGGACTTGCCTCATTGCGTGTTATCTGCAATGAAATGCCTGGCAAACTGTGAGTGACTGATCATCTGCTGCCATAATGATTCATATCAAAGACACAAATATTCAATAGATAATGCACTATTAAAGGGGACATCAGATGAAATGTTCACTTTTTTTGGTTTAGTTAGGTGTCTGGTGCATCTGCCAGCTCAGAAAAGCTGAAAAGAAAACATGCAGCCAGTTTGTTATGGGCTGTCTGAGTCTTAAACTGTGTCATCCAGCGAGCGGTTTCAATTTGCAGCCGGTTTCTACGTAGATAGCTGGCTATTTGAATTAGACCACCTCTGAGTCATATATGGAGACCAAGGCAGCAATTCACGTGCCTTGAGTCGACACGCCCCATGGAAGAGAGGGGCTAAGAAATGTTACTTGAGCAGCAAATCACTGGAGTATTGATTCTGAAAATTCAGACTGGCCATCAAAAATAAATAAATACATTTTAAAATATAGTAAAATAGAAAATAACTATTTTAAATAGTAATAGTATTTCACAATTTTACTGTTTTTATCAAATAAATGCAGCCTTATTGAGCATAAGAGACTTTCAAAAAATAAGAAAAAAGATCTTACTGACCCCAAGCTTTTCAACAGGAGTGTATATATATTTTTTTTAAATCAGAGCAGTATTTTTTAATGACATTGCTGTGAAAACCACCTTTGGAACTTTTATTTTTAAAGGGGGCATCGGATTATTTTTTATTTTTTATTTTTTTTTGCATTTAGTTGTTGGTGTGACTGCCAGCTCAGAAAAGCTGAAAAGAAATCATGCAGACAGTTTGTTATGGGCTGTCTGAGTCTGAAACTCTGTCATCCAGCGAGCTCTTTCAATTTGCAGCCGGTTTCTACATAGATAGCTGGCTATTTGAATAAAACCACCTCCGAGCCATTTACAGAGTCCAAGGCAGCAATTCACGTGCCTTGAGTCGACACGCCCCATGGAAGAGAGGGGCGGGGTGAGCAGAGCTCATTATCATTTAAAGAGACATGCACCGAAATGAGTCTCTGTGAACAGAGCTGTTTTTGGCAAGGTAAAAAGGGTGTTGTTTTACACGACTATTGAGGAATTTTAACCAAAGTATGTTGCAGACATTTCTTAAAGACCCTAAAGAATCATACCAACTTGTGGAAAATGGGCATCCGATGTCCCCTTAAA